AACAATGCATATATGCACACGTCAGCATTTCCACATTCATGCTGACTTTGTGACTCTGGAACCCACAGATCCAGAATGCTCAAAGAAATAAGATTTAGCTTTTTATTGTTATTTTTAAATTTACAATCATCAAGGAAATAAGAGTTTCCAAACCCTGACAGCAACACTTGATGTCCCAGATAGAGGATTAGTCTGTAATTGAGATGGAACACCACAAATATGTATACAAATATTTGGGTCCATGTCATCTGGATTATATTTATACATCAAGCTGCTATTGATAATTTCTCCACAGTACAAAGCCTGGTTATTTTGTTTTATGCCCTAAAAATTCATGGGTGCCCGTGGCTTTTTGCAATTATTTGAAGATATGCTAATTTTTTCACAGACAATTCTGAGAAGGTTCATCCCTTCTGCATATTATCCAATTTAACTGCTAAAAAACTTTTATGGTAGGATTTTAAACTATTTTGAGCATCTCTGCATCATAGACAATATTTGATGCCATACACGACCACAAAAAGACAGCAGAATTAGAAGGTATGCAATTATCTTGTCCTCAAAAACTATAGGTTTCAAAGAGATTTGCCATACAACGCAGCACAATAAATGTTGCTCTTGAGAACATATCTGCTTGAAGCTTCATCTTTTCCTATCTTCACTTTTTGTTTGTCCCTTTTGTGTTTCCTTCTTTTGTTGCATGCAGGGGAGAAGCAGCAAACTTAAAGCTGCTCCGAACTTCTGTGTAGCACATATCAAACTGTACACATTAGGGAAAGAATAAGCCGTAGTAGGAAAACATAATAAGGACTATGTATTGGACCATGATGTACGCAGTCCACAAAATACCCAGTTTCTATCTGAAATCTATCGTCTTTTAAATCAAGAATACAATGATTTGGGCAATAGTTCCCTACTTCTGAATGGTATTGCACACAACCTCCTTGCTTCTAATAATCTCCTATACATCACAACTCAATTTGTGGACAGCCTATAGGGCTGGAGCTCTGTTCCTCATACAATCCACTTTGAAGCACCCTCTTTCTATGGACATATTCTTAGCAACCAGATCAGGAGAGAAGCAGACATTACTATAACCTCTGAGACTTATGTTCATGATGACAAGGAACCACACAGCGTTTCACAATCCAAGATAAGGTTGCAAACAGAGGGGAAGGTGAAAAAAGAACTCTCCAAGAACATGAAGTGTTAACAGAAGAACTGGTGCTGCTTATCGTGCTTTGATAAAAACTGTACTATCAGGCGTTGTTGCAGACTCTTCTTTTTCAGTCACAGTCTCCACTTCCCCAGAGGCTGACACAATTACAACTGTTTTAGAGTCCAGTGAGGCTTTCTCCTTCTCAGCAATGGCTGCACACACAGCCAGTATCTCATCGCTTTCAAAATCATAATCTGGGATTGGTTCCTTCGAAGTCTCTCCCTCAGCTGCTGTTCCTTGTCCTCCTGTCTTCGATTTGGTTACTTTCTTCTGCTGTTGTAATTTTCTTGCCCAAGACAGATCCTCGTGCCACAGTTCGGAGCTTAATGGGCAGATATGGAGGGCAATCTGGAAACTTCGGATTGCCTACAAAAACAAGAGTGGCAGCAACACATTTAGAATATAAAACACATGCCTCCTTCACTTCAACGTGACTAGAAAAAGTAATGACATTATAATTCAATGCAACCACCAGAATTAAATCAGATCTACTTAAAGAGCAAGGTCCAGATTAATTAATATTAAACTTAAACATAGGGAAATCTAAGTTCAAATTCATATATTCTGGCAGACCTGCTCTGTCAGTTTTAACTATGGATTTTAAAACAACATTCTATGCTTATTGTATTTTAACTTTTGCTTTATGCATGTTGTGCCCCACCTTGAGCCATAAGGAGAAGCTGGTAATAAATTATTATTATTATTAGTATTAGTATTATTAATAGTGACTTTAGAAAAATAATAATGTTTGTTGTAACAATACCAAATATAGCAACTACTACAGACATTTATAAAATGTATTCAATAGTGTTTTGAGTGCTTCACAAAGAAGTAATGATGACTTTGAAGTGATGCTCACCATCAGCAAATGGCTCAGTCCTGCACTGAATGGTTTACCATTATCTTCCCAGATCAGAGAGAACAAGTTAAAAATCGTACATGAGTCTGTGGTCAAGATGCTTCTCTGAGTAATTATGTTGGTAAAACTTAACATCAGAAGCAGTTCCCTAAATGTCAACTGCAATTTCAAAAGCAACTCAAACTGTGTAATGTAGTGATGGTTAAAGATAATGCAGACTCTAAAGCACATTACTCTCACATGTTCACCTCTTGTAGTGTTAAATATGTTCTTTCAATATAAAACTGAGGCAAGTGCTTATGGTACTGTTTACTTTCTGAGATTGCAGTATAAAGATGAGAGACAGTATGGTCTAGTCTCAGTGGTTCCCAACCTGTAGGTCCCCAGATGTTTTGGCCTTCAACTCCCAGAAATCCTAGCAGCTGATAAACTGGCTGGGGTTTCTGGGAGTTGTAGACCAAAACACCTGGGGACCCACAGGTTGAGAACCACTGGTTTAGTGATTTGGGTTCTAGATTATGACTGCGGACCAGGGTATGAATCCCCTTTTGACCATGGACACCCACTGGGTGAACTTGCACAAGTCACATTCTCTCAGCTTCAGAGGAAGGCAATGGCAAACCCACTTTGACAAATCTTGACAAGAAAACCACATGTTAGGTTTGATCATCGTAAGTCTGAAACGATTTGAAGGCACAAAACAACACCAAGGTATATAGACAAACAGGCTCTAGGTTTACTTCGAGGTTTGATGGTAACTTCTACTTTTGAACAGTGATACCAGCTAGTCAAACAAAAGTGATCATTTCAATTTATGTGCTTCCTCGAAGTATAGAACTGTATTAAGTAAGAACATGTTGCAAGATAACTGTGTTGGTCTTTTAACAAAATCCACCCTTTAGCACTACCTATATTGGGCCAACCAAAAGGTACAAAATAAATCACGCAAGCTTTCAAAGCATCAGTATTTTTTTCATCAGATGAAAAACAGAAGGGTAAAAGAGTATAACTCTGTTATGGCAACTGCACCTATCTTGTTCAGTAGCAATGAAATGTTGGTCAACATAAAATGGGACCCCCTTATAGCCAATAAGCAAAAGTGAATCATATTTTGCCTCCAACTCTGAAATCACAAATATGTATGCATGCATATACACACAATGTTGCATTTATCCAGAATGAAGGCTTAAAAGGTAAAGGTAAAGTTTTCCCCTTAACATTAAGTCTAGTTGTGTCCAACTCTGGGGGGTGGTGCCCTTCTCTATTTCTAAGCCAAAGAGCTGGTGTTGTCTGCACACACCTCCTTGGTCATGTGGCCGGCATGACTGCATGGAGCACTGTTACCTTCCTGTCAAAGCTGTACCTATTGATCTACTCACATTTACATGTTTTCGAACAGTTAGTTTGGCAAAAGCTGGGGTTAACAGAGGGAGCTTAGAAGGCCCAAATTATGGATGGATACAACTGGGCCCATAGGATATTTTCAAGATTTTCTGGTATAGAGGAAAAAATGGGTATTGGCAAAGAGAGAACATAAAATGAAGCCAAATCATGTTGCTTTACCTGCTATTGTAATATTATATTAAATGCCTGGTGTTGGAAGGTATATTCTGTGCCTGACGAAAAAGCCAGTGAAGCTTTGAAAACTAGTGTGATGATGATTAGTTGTGCCAATAAAACTAATGCTAAATAATGGATTTCAATGTTTTTTGCTGTAAGCAACTCTCTCTTCCAGATGTGAAAAGAAGATATGCATGCCATACAAAGATGTGCTGGTCCTAGCAGAAACAGTGAAGAAATTTTCTGAAGAAACTCTGTGTGTAATTTATCATTATGATCTGTTTGTTTGTGTTTTGGTTTGATCAACTGCCTTTGGTTTCCAAGGAAGGGTAGGGTATATGGGTGGAGGGGAAACACTTAGATTTCTAAACAAGCTGGACACAGCAGATGTTTGAAACAATGCATCTTAGCTCTTCAAACACAGCATCCATATGCAGCTGTTAACATCCAGGGATGTGAGTAAATATGAAAATACCCAAAGTGTGGCAAAACAACTCACAACACTTGGGTTCCTTTCTTTAAAAAAGATTTCCTCATGGCATACATTTGCCACTATATATCTTTGCCAGTAAAATACAGTTTGCTGTATGGGTTTACAAAACTATAAAACCATATTACTAAGCACATTTGTCCTGGCAGCATCTCTAAATTAATGCATACAATTGGATAAAAATGAATTCCAGAGGCAGACATAAGTCTTTCAGAGATACTGATATGGTTTTAGAATACCAACTGAGGCCTCGCTGATCATTAAATTGGCCTTTATCATAGACAGGCACTATCTCAACTTCCTGAAGGAAAAACTTTGCTTACTGTACATTTCAGGGCTATTCTTGTAAAGTTAAAACATATCAGGGAAGCTTCTGGTTATAATACAGCAGAAATATAGCACCAGATTTAGAAATAGTACTTACAATTATTTTGCTATGAGAAGAATTCTTAACAAGGAGTTAAATGTTATGGATTATATGTCATTGTATTTTTGGCCAGCTACTGGAAAAGAGCTAACTTTTAATTCAAGGGTGTGGAAAGTATTGCCTTGGTTTTGTACACAAATTCTAGGAGGCATGGGGGCAATTTTATCATTTTTACCCCCAGTGGTTTTAAGTCCAGATGGGGGCTTCTGCCAACCAGAAAGTAAGACAAGAAAAAGGTGGTTTCCTAGTTGAAAGAAGGCTTTGTTTGAATCTAAAATAGCCCATACAGTTTAATAGATTTCAAAATAGTTTTTTAAAAATATTATATCCACCATCAACCACTTTGTTACCAATTTGAGAATAATTAACAGCAATGGAGCATATGGTCCCAATACAACTTATATGTGGATGCAGAAGCTAGTTGCATGCGGCTCTATGTTAATTATGGGCAAACTGCTACAGCAGCTTTTAAGGAGTTGTATATAAAGACATATGACAAGCTCCCAAAGTGCAACATGTTTTCAGAACCACTGAAATCCACCAACTAAATATAGTCAAACTAGCTACAAAACAATTATTGCAAGAATAACTTTTTAAAAGTAGTATCTCACACACACCTGTAGATACTCTGCTGAGATATAATTTCTACATCAAAAGTCATTTTTCTTTTACAAAGAATGACTTTCAATTGAGCCATCTTTTCTGTTTTAAGCTACTGCCCCAGACTTTTCCATAATTGAAGGTTAAATGCCCTGAAGATGCCAGTAGCTGAGAACTGTGCTTAGAGTGACCTGTGCTTTTGAAAAGCAATGTCCTTGGTCATTGCTAACGAAAACAGAAAAATATTATCTCTGGGTAATGTCATGTGTCAAATAAAAAAATCACAATTGTTGAAACATTCAGGCTAGCAGGTATAGAGGGTATGACAATGTGTTTCCCAATGGAAAGGCGAGCTATCCTTTCATCACAAGTCCATTATACACAACGTCAAAGAGGCAATTATTTGATGATCTTTCAGCATTATAGAATATTAGAATGTTCCACAATTTGTTCTGTGGTATATCCCACAATTTTGTATTTCTGCTGTTTTTGCAGTACTAAATGAGAGGATATCAGTGGCATCAGCACAGATTTCCACTAGATTGAACTCGCCTGGAAAATCTTATGAATTCCTCAATCATTTGACTAAATAACACAACAAATAAGATACTTAAAATTCCAAAGTTGACTAATGAGCGAGACTAAGATAAACATGACTACAGGAAGATTAAAAAGGATAAAGAAACAAATGAGGGACTTTTTTTGGTAGCTTGCCAGATGGGGGAAAAGCAAAATGTAATACAGCAGGAAATAACTTCATATTCTGCACGAAACAGGGACTTTTGGGTTCTTTTTCTCCATCTCATTCTCCCTCCATTTAAGAGTGACACTAGAAAGAATAACATTGTACAAAGATAGTAAAATAGATGTAAAGAATTGCAGCCATCCACAATTCCTCTCTGTGTAATGTTCAGGAAGGAAGTCATTCTGCCTGTCAGGTATCTCTTGAAACGGTATTCATAAAAGTCACTGTGGCTTAGTTCAGGCAGAAGAAACATGACCTAAGGGGCTGAGAAGCTTCCTCCAGCCTTTTCTTCCACACAACAACAGCAAGGCATCTTTGCCCATCCTCTACAAAACAGAATAATACAGCCACCCCTTTGGGAAACACAGCCTATATACTCCTGTATCAGTTAAGAAATTTCAGTCAAAAGCTCAACCCAAAAACCTGAGTCAACATATCCATTAGTTAAAGTAAGTACTGTATGTTAACTTCTATCAAAAAAGGAACCATCCAATTCCCTGAGTACAGTGGTGAAAGGCAAGACCTGAATCTGCCTTGAGAGAACATTTAAAAAGCACCAGTCTCCTCTACTCACTCTGCCTTTTTGAACACCTGGATGGGGAAATGATGCCCAGGAGAACCTGGCCCTCTAAGGTGGGTGGAATAACCTTCGACTTATCCATAGGTCATATCAAATCCATAATTTTGGCCCTAAATCCTGCCCTTGACTTATATATGAGTATATAAAGTATTTTCATCTGTGGGATAGAAGCCCCCAGTGGCACAATGGGTTAAGCCCTTGTGCCAGCAGGACTGAAGACCAACAAGTCAAAGGTTCAAATCAAGGGAGAGCGCAGATGAGCTCCCTCTGTCAGCTCCAGCTCCCCATGCGGGGACATGAGAGAAAACTCCCACAAGGATGGTAAACATCCAGACACTCCCTGGGCAACGTCCTTGCAGACGGCAAATTCTCTCACACCAGAAGCACCTTGCAGTTTCTGAAGTCCCTCCTGACATGGAAAAAAAAATCTGTTCAAGTGTTGAATTATCTACTGGGGACTCCCATAACAACCAACCATCCCAATTTGGAAGGGACAAAGCCACCAGATCCTATCTAATCCTATTTTTCTGCTGCTTTTAAAATGTCTGACTTTCTCTCTCCTCTTTCCACTTCTCCCTTTTGTCACTGGTATACTTCCTCTGGTACAAACTGCATTTAAAATTCAAAAGGAATTTGTATTCAGCTAACTCAATGGGACGAGAGAAGATTGAGAAAATAAATATTGCCCTTCTCTGTAGACTCAGGCAGAAGGAAAGTGTTGCACTCTCTCCTAGTTTGTGTGTATTTTTCTCATTGCCATTCTGACCGCACTCTGATATTGCTTCACTACATACATCCCAATGTCCATCTGTGAAATGTTTGAAGGTCAGGACTCCAACTGTATTGGCCTGCAGATGGTATTCAGTTTCCTGCTTTATGGTGACTTCCTGTTTTGTCCTGTACCTTATCCCCACATTCTTCAGCTCTTTACAGAAAAGCCACTGCAAATGAGAGGACTGACCTCCATCTTGCTTCTTTCTGTCTTGGGTCATGTTCTCATAAGTAAAAACATCCCAAAGTTTGCCCCAAATAGGGCTACAAACAATGACAAGAAAATTTCAAGGTAGCTGATCTCTATCTATTCCAAGAAGAACTAGAAAAGGCCTGACTTATTCTAACCAAGCGCTTCAATTCCAAATAATGTTGATGATGTCAAAACAAAGGAAACTTTCTTTGTTCTGCCCACCTAATAACTGAAACGGATACAAGATAGAACAAAAAGCATTAATTTATTCTGATACATGACAGATGGTTCTCTTGAAGGGCAGAATGCATGATGTTCCGTGATATACTGATTTACGTAGGTTTAAACATAATTTTCTGCTTCGTTAAGTCACAGCTAGAGATCAGACTCATTGAGTGGCTAGCTGAATAATGAATGACAGACATCACCAACAGAAAAAGTATTTGTATGTATTACCTTTTTTACTCCCAAAGAAAACTGCTTGAAAAATATACTACTGACACATGGCTGTAAGACTGTCAATGGAAAACTGGCCTTCCTGCCTTTTCACTTACCAGTGCAATTTCTCCTAATCCAAGCTGGGCCCGCCCTAATGTCTGCCAAGCCTCCCAAGAGTGGGGATCTCTCTGGACAGCCATTTCTGCTGCATGCACTGCTGGGAACATTTCGTGCAGAGACATAAGAACCTAATGGGGAGAAAAGGAAAGCAAAGAGCACGACTTCCATCAACCAGTGCCGCTCCAAAAATCCAAGTTCAAAGGCAAAGAATGTATGCAACTAGCTATGAGTTAGAAAGAAACTGCCAAGAAAATTCACAACTGCACTGATTTAATATGTGTGCGGATACACATACACTCAGAGACTCCTGAGCTTTGTCTTGTTCCAAATGTTTCTGACATGTTTAGCCAACTTGAAGGTCTAATTTAATGACCAGCTTCTAAATCAGACTCCTTTGCACTCTTATACCAGTTAAAAGTCCAGTGATCCCCCTACTAACCCCTCACAGATATCTCTATACTTGGTCTCTGCCAAAAAATTATCAAAGTGAAGTGCCTATCCAAAGGGGAAAGGCAGATAACATAATTCCTTGCCTGCTTCACAGCATCAAAGATATGGCTGAGAACTTACAGAGACAGAATTAGAATGTAGAAAATCTGAATATATCCCATGATTTATAAAAATGTTTTATACAGTGAACTGAGAAATTAACAATAAATAAATTATACTACCTTTAACAATAAGCTTGGTCAAAATGGACTATCCAAGTCATTTCTACATCCATAATGTTTGCTCATGTGACAAGGGGAATAGAAATAAATGTGAATAATTACAGGATACTGCCAGTGTTACAAAATATAATGTGGGACCTTTTCCTAGGTCTTGTGTGTATAGTAGCAGTATCAGAACAATGAGCTAATGTACATTCTCCTCTACATTATAGTCAAAACTGGAAACTAGCAGAACTTCCTGTACCAAGGAAACCTTAACTGATCTTCCACCTTTGCTTTCAGATTATGTCTCCCATGCCACATATTTAGTCATTGTTCAATCTTTCATCCACCAGTCAGTCAAGGATGACCTAGAGTTGGGAATTATGGGTGGGAAACATATGCCCTCCAGATGTTGTTGGGTCTTCTACTTCCAACATTCCTCATCGCTGGCTATGTTGAAGTCCAACAGCATCTGGAAAGCTGAATAATTCCCACGCTTGGTTTAAAACAAGCAATGACAACATTGTGGTCCTATCTGTAGACCAGAAGGCTACATGTCTAACTGATCCCAAAACACAGTATATTTCCATGTGGACTGTTTATGTGCCCCTTTACATCACCTGTTTTAGATGAACATCCTTGGGAGGAATTTCCTTAACTAAACAAATATATTTTTTGGTTCCTGTTGATTTCAAAATTAAAACATCAGGCAGGGAAACACTGTTGCCAATAATTTTATTAAAGGTTTTGTGTTTTGCTGTTTCATTGGCAGTATTAGGTAGATAATATTATACAGTTGGACCTCCATTTGCAGTTTTGACTTATGTGGATTTGATTATTCACAAATGTTATTAAAAATATCCTTTAAAGGAATTTCTAGGTCCTCTGGTGTAACTGTATGCTCAACTTCTGCCAAAAGTTGATTATAAGATCATGCTGGAGGACCTAAGGATTCCTAGACACAACACCTTTCTAGGAGTCTCTAGATCTTCTGGAGCAATTCTATGGTCAACATCTGTGGTGGACCCTCAGCTATGGAACTCCCTCCTGGTTTTCTAATCTAAAAGTGAAGACCTGGTTATGGAATTAGGCGCTTGGGTAGTGCAATACGGAACTGGAATAATGTAGCAACACAAACGATGACTTTTGGACAAGGTTATCATGTTTTTAACAGTTTTATGATATTTATATGTTTTTATCTGTTTTATTATGTATGTGATACAGCATATTGTATATTTGTCTGAACGTGACACTGAATATTGTCATATTGTAAGCCGCTCAGAGTCTCCTTCAGGGTGAGAGAGAGAGTAGGATAGTAATATAGTAAATAAATAAATAAATAGGGTCATGCTGGAGAACCTAAAGAATCCTAGAGATGTGTTCTCTCTAGTAAAAATTAGCAATTGATTTATTATTATTTTTACTTTTGTTGGCATCTTTTGCCTCTACCCCAATGAATATGTGAAGGGTTGACTATGCTGCTTATTCTACTTTTGCTTCATTTTGATTTGTGCTAAAGGAAAGGATTTTAAGATAAAGTATCACAGCCCATAGCCAGAACAAATAAATGTATATTCACATTTTTTTTTCACTCTCAGTATTACCTGTGATTTCATCTCATAGAGGGTAGCATCCTCTGGTGTTAACTGGAGTGCTTCGTCCCATTTGTGAACCGCCTCTCGGTATCTACAGGATGTTAAAAGAATAATGCAATTTTACCATATATGTACACACACACTTGAACACACACAAATGCAGAGACGTGGGTGGAAAATTCCCCAATAATAAATTTATATGGGAAAATTTCTTCCTTGTCTACTTGTTGTTGCACATATACACACAGATAACCATAATTTCCTGGGTTATTGTACTGCAACTGATCAAGTGAGATGGAATATGAATGCCTAGTTATTCAAACCTAGTCTTGAGAGGAATAGACCAATAAACAAATGCACTGCTAAGCTTCCTTCTATTAAGTAAAATCTCTTGCTTCTCAATCACTCAAGTACAAGGAAAGAAGACAAAATGTGGTAAGTTGCCTGTGCCCACAGACTTTTTCCATTAGTGGAAAAATATGTTCAACTGGTTCTTTTGAATTACAGTTTTCTAAATTTGAAATGGAACTGATATGTACATAAGAGTACTGAGTCTAAATGAATAAATCTGAAGGCACTATAGTTATACCTCAAGAAAAGCAAAAATGAAAGTAAGCTCCCCTTGCGTATGTGTCCTTAAAAAGTAGCATTCTTTCAGATATCGTATTTTTTTTGTTAAATATAAAGGAAGCATATGTTATTCCCTTATTACAAATAGTCCAACAAAATAATTTCCACATTCATCTTCGAATGTGTTTGAATATATTAGTTAAAGTTTCTAAATCAAATATTTTCTAATTTTTCTGGAATACCTACATCATAGGATATGAGAATGTTTAAAGGTTGGTTTGTGTTTTTTTTACTGTTTTGCCAAGAAACCAAGGTGGGCTTCCAATCCAATCCAATAAGCCTTTACTGGCATTTAGCCAAGGTGGGCTTGAGCAGAATAACATCTATGCACATAACTCATAAATATTAAGTGACATCCACTCCACCAAAGATGTGACCCTGAGGATTGTATTTTGAGTTTCTCATTACACGGAACCCAGAAGATACTGAAACTTAAAATCAGAAACCAACCTGGTGACTACTACCAAGGTTTCTTATTCCCACCAATTAGAACAATTAAAACCATTTCATTTCTGTATCCTGGCCTAAAAACAGATTGAAAGGAGTCAAGATAATTAATTTCCTCCAAGAATGCCTGAAGTTGCCCAAACACTACATGCTCAAGCGCTTTGCCCAAGAAGGGACATTTGCAACTAGGTAATAATTCTCATACATCCCTGGGTTCAATAAAGTCCTCTTCAGGAGAGGACACACAAAACATCCTCCAAGGCAGCAAGCAATTCATTCTGACATCTTGAGACATTCACCATTCCCTGGACCCACTCAGTCAATCCAACCCTGCTAGATTTTATCAGCCAAGATGGGCAAGGGTCAAGCTTACATGAGGTGAGGTTAACCTCTTCAAGTGTCTAGTCCACATCATCGGGCCTCGGGAACTGAAACTGATCTCATGAACACTGATGAGACATTGCACTGGAGGCTTTAAAACAAATGCTGTATCCCCTGAGACTACGCCACCTGCACTCCAACCATCATCCAATCTGTTTCATTTCCCCCAAAAGAATTATGTGCTCCATGGCACAGGACTGGCCACTTATGAGCAATTGTGTTAATATCCTTTTCTATCTCTCCATTATATAGTGATACTAAGGCCTTTGCCAGTGATGTCAGCCATTAAATCCCCCAGAGCATTCAGGACTCTTCTGGAGTCCCTGGAGTGCACCATTCTAAAAGGTCCCCACGTCTCTGCAGGGAATACCTGCAACCACCAAACTAAACATCACAAAGAAATGATTTGGCTATGACAACAGGATTTTGAGACTGGGCATGTATAACTAGGGACTAATCAATCTCAAACGCTTGCTGGAACATCCAGGTTTTTAAATCCCTACGAAAGGAGGGCAGTGTTGGGGCTTGCCTAATCTCTCTGGGGAGGGTGTTCCAAAGTCAGGGGCCACCACTGAGAAGACTCTCCCTCGTCCCCACCAGCCATGCTTGTGATGGTGGTGGACGCGAGAGTAAATTCCCTCTAAAATCATATCATCCTCCAACTGTCCAACAGCAAAAAACTAGATTCAGGGTCTGCCCTCTCTATGCCCAGACATTACATAGTCTGCAAATCCTAATTATATTTCATTTATAGTTGATGGGGCAATTTCCCTTGTTGTCCCCAAACTGGCAAAACTCAGATATTTTGACAATTTCTATTACTCCCAGAAATGAAATGAAAAAGATTATAGCTTATTTAAAAAGATTATTCTGAAACAAAATACCCTAATTCATTATTGTTGAATTAAAACAGATTGATGTGTTAGTGGCTTATAGCATAAGAAGTCATGAAGGAATCTTGGATTTTTAAAAAAGATTTTTCTTTTTGGACTACAGGTAATTTCCTCTGCAAAATATATGCAAAAAACTTAAACTAAAAAAAAAACTAATGAGCTACTGGATTCCTTTATGTATTTTTATAATGGGCTAAGGTTTGGCCACCCTTGCTTTAACTCTAAAAGCAGTGCCAGGACCCGATGGCTTATTTATTGGGGGAAATTGTTTGTTTAAATGTTCTTCAGCTTCTGAAGCTCTCATAGCTTCAATAGGTAATGTTAAAAACTGTGCTCTTCAAAACTTGGTCACAGAAACATGCTCCAACTGAAGTACATTACCACTAATAAACGTCTGAAGACATTTCCCATAACTTTTTGCTGTACTACTTGTCAAATAAATACTAATTAATAACACCGCATTGATATAAACCATGTTTGTGAAATATTAAACAAAACACTCAAATGAAGAATAATACGTTTCCATTATAACAAGCATCAGATTTTAAGGACGATTTTCACATGCTTCAGCTCTGGTATTTTTTTTTCAAATGAATCATTATCTTACAACATAAAGTATGTTTAAGGATGGAACATGCCATTGAGCAATTTAAAAAACACACAAAAACACTCCATAGGAAACAGAGACAACACATGCAGAATATGTAATGTTGGACGTGCTACTGAACATATCTAAAGGACAAAAAAGTACAACGATTAAATTGTCATGTTCAATGGCTGATAAAACCCTAACGTTTTGCCATAATAAAAGTTAAACCTCAGAGGTTTACAGAGTCAGCAAAACAAACACAAAAGTGCAGGCTATTCTCCATGTCAAAATGGAACATAATATATTTTCCCATATGTAAAATATGAATGGAAATGTTTACCAACTTTTAAAAAAATACTGCCCATAAAAATGCATTTCTCTGCATTCTAAAAGCAACCAATTCAGCATATTTGTTTAACTGTTGTCTCCCCTACACAAGAACTTCAATCTTTTGCTACAAAAATAGCCATAGCAGCCTCAAGTGCAAAGAATGTAGGAACCAAAAACATTTCCATTTCAACCTGGCTAACATCACTAATTAATAAATGCAGTACAAGCTCTCCTAGATCATTCCAAACAACTCACAAACTGGGCAATACTTGTTCATAACGTACTTAAATTATAGATCTCAAACTATAGAGCAGTGGTTTCCAACCTGTTTTTGACCAGGGACCACTTTGACCAGGGATCACTTTCCAACATTAGTACCAAAAGGGTTACAAATCAGTTTTTGGTCAACTTCAGATTTGGTTTGGTTATTTGTAGTGCTGATTTAGAAAATTGCATTGGATAGACCACATCAGCTCTCATTTCTGATACAGGACATATGTAATCCAGTAGTCGCCATCTGCTCGCCCACAGAAAACCATATTTAATAATCTAGAAATGACGTGATAGTAGTAATCTTTCGTGGATAGTCAGCCTCTCCCCTTCTGACAACCCTGTTGCCTCACCACTATAAGAGGGTTTCAAGGCAATGGTGTAGTAATGTTGAGGCCGTGGGCCATATTTTCGTTCATGGGGACCACTGGTGGTCCACTGGCCACAGGTTGGGAATCACTGCTATAGAGTATGCCAATGGTATAATTTCAGATAACTCATCGTGTTCCAATTTATGGACCACACTCAAACTCTTGAGTATTTAGACCAGCATGTCTGCAAACACTGCTTGTATTATCATATGCAATGTAAATGAAACATCATGCATTAGTCATTGTGGCCCAGTTATGTGTTTACTTAGGATCTGTATTGTGAGAATTTCTAAAGAAAAGTTAAATAGATTCTGTTTCTCTACATTTTGAAGTACCTCCAAGTAAGTATCTATTTCCAAATGCTGTTGCTGTGTGCCTTAAAGTCATTTTTAATGCAAAGCTATCACTAGATTTTCTAAGATTTATTCCGAGCTTTGCCATTGCCTTCCTCTCAGGCTGAGAAGGTGTGATTTGCTCAACGCCACCCAGGGTATTTCATGGCCGAGAGGGGATTTGAATCCTGGTCTCCCAGAGTTCCAGTTCAATACACAGACCATGGAAATGTATGTATTAGCCTGAAGCAGATAAATTTGTGTAAGCCAGGACTCATTCCAACATAACAAAGTGGCTTTTACAGAAAGATCTAGACAAAATTTGAGGGACCTTTGGGGCACTTTTTCCTCTTCAAAAATCACAGGACCATATTAGTTTCTTACATGGTTTCCTTCAAACTTTTTTTGAGATGGAAGGGAATTTGTTTGAGAATTTTTTTATGCAAATCCCTGTAGAAGTGTGACATGTGCTTGTGTAATGTTAAGCGACCATAATCAGGAATTTCCACTGCTAGAAGAGGAAGAAGCGGTGATTTTCATTAAGGACAAGGCACAAGGCCTCTTACAATTGGTTTTGAACCTGAACATTGTGGTTTTATCTTTTACAAAAAGTTGAACTAGACTTTTGGTCACTTTCTGATTCATTTAAGGGACTACAATTACTTGCAGCACATCCCAGAGTCATAAAACTGGCTCCTGGGACCATTACCAAATTTACATCTCACTATGATCCAGTTACTTTCTCAGCTGCTCTACTTCACAAGGTTGTTGCGAAAATAAAGAGAAGAGAAAAAGAGAATTATGCATGCTGCCCTGATCTTAATATAATATTAATAGAAACAACAATT